ACACAAATAAAATTACAAAGATATATACATAAGTACATACATAAGTACATGTACACAAGTAATTGAGACACAAAACAAATGAATAATGAAATTATTCTAAGTTTATCTAAAAAAAAAAAAAAATTGGAGGAATGTACTCAAATGTTCAGGGTTATTTCAGAAAAGGTTAGACAATCGGTTATACTCGTATGTGTATGAATTCGATCTGTTGTACATACTTTGCAGAACAAAAAAAATATTTTGTTTTTTTTTTTTTTTTTGGCACACTGACAATTTTCATGGCGCTATAAATTTTCTGTGTATATTAAGTTTATACTCAATCATACAAAAAACAATATAATTATAATGTAACACTATAACTGACACTATAAGGTAAACTCGAGATATGAAATATTAAAAACCCAATGAAGGGTCCAAAAACAAAGTGATTTTGGTGAATACCTTAAAAACAACAGGAGAACAAATGAGCTTTATTTCGCCGCATTTATTAATAAATAAATTTTGATTTACTTTATCAGATGAATATTGCAATATTTACGTTATCAGATTGATTTTTTCATTAAAATTTCTTAATAAATTGTTTTTACGAGATTTAATCTTCATGCTTATATTATTATCTTTGATACAAAAACAAAAATTTGAATATGCCGAGTATTTCTGATTTTTTTGATTTTGTAAATAATATAAGTATTTACTTAAATACATACACAAGCATATTTAGAAGTCTTCAATCATTTTTCAAAATAACAAAATAGTTTTAAATAAATTTGAAACGGTTTTTTAATTAGCACTTTTGAGGTAAAAATAGTTTTATTCTAATATGTAAGTATATACACATGTGTAAGGTAAGTGTCCCTATTACTGACATATTTCGCAACAAATTCAACTTTGGCGTGAGATATTTTATATGTGGGACACAATAAATGATCGCATTTCCGATTTTTTGAATAATTTGGATAATTGAGAATAATGTTTTTTATAAAATTATTTAATCAAAATATTTTTTAATTCATAATTTTTCGATTATAGACGAAAAGAAAAAATGTTCCTAATATTGACATAACCGCAAATGTTTGTGTCTATTACTGACAGTTTGTGTTCCTAATACTGACAATGTAATTTTATATGCTGTAATCCATATTCTATATATGAATAATGGTTTAAAATGGTTAAAATGATAATATTCAATAAAAATGGAATAATAATTTGGATTTCTACGGATATTTCATTTTATTTAAAAAAAAAATTAAAAATTTATCATATTATAATTCAAACAAAAATAAAAAAAATATTTTTTATTGAATTAAAGGTAAAAATATGTGAAATTCAGCTGATTTGAATTTATTATTACTGTAGAATGTACTTTTGCTAGTAGTCTTAATATGCAACAATGAATAAATAAAAATTTTTAAAAGATATTTATGAAAATCTAATTCGAAATTATATAATTTTTTATAAAGTATTATAAGTAATATTTGCTACAGATGTATTCTTATAAATAATACCTAAAATATGATGTACCAATCACACGAAATTATAAGAAATCATATCAATATATTCTAAAGCTGCTAATAAGCCTATTCTAAAGCTGCTTTTTGCTTTAACAAAGACTATTTATGTATTAAGTACGTAACGAGAGCAACCCATTCTTAATTTTTGGAACAACATTTCGGGTTATTAAAAAGGACTCCTTTTCTTATTTAAAGAGAACCATTTCCGTTGTGATATTTGTTATGACGTTAACGTTTACAGTAATTTCAAAGCATTTTTTTAGAAAGCGAATTGTACTGTTTTATTGACAGTATTGTATACAATATTGACACTCAATTTGTTAGACGAATATCACTATTAAAAAGGTAAAAAGCTCGTAGTCAGATATAAGTTTTCACAAATGTAATCGATTTTCATTCGACAGAAATAGCTTAAACAATTTTAAAGTATAAAGAAATTATTTTAATTAATTAAAATGAATATCAAAATTAAAACTTTATACTGACATAATTTTGTTCATAATATTGACCCTCTTTAGATCGTATTACTGACACCAGTTTTTAAAGCTAAAATACTCCGAACCTGTAGTAAATTCTTAGTGTCAGAATTCGGACATAAGAAAGAAAATTCAAATTTGATTTTAATTAAATAAATACGAAAATAAAAATTTAAATATTTTAAAAATGACGGCATTTATAAAAATACGGATTTTTGACGTATTACTGACACATATGTCAGTAATAGAAGCAGGGTCGAATTTTAGATGTTCCTAATACTGATAGAAATTATTTGTTAAAATTCTTATTTATTTAACGTTTTTACTTCGAATTACTTATAAAATAAGATAAAAAATAATCAAAATATTTAATTTAATATAAATACATATATTTTTAACCCTCAAATAAGTCAAAAAACAATAAAAACAAAATCGGAAAAATTAAGCAAAAAGTATAAGAAATTCTCCAATGCAACCCACTTTTGCTATGTCTATGGAAACAAAACTGATTTATGTTCAATATTTTGGAGTTATTTCAAAACTAAATAAAAGGAAGTATTGCGATAATTTGAATTAATCTAGAAATAAAAAAATATATATATGTTGTATAGAGAAAATCTCTTAATAATTATAAAAAACCTCATATATGTCAGTATTACCGCCACTGTCAGTATTAGCTACACTTACCTTATATAATTATCGTCGAATTTATTCATAGACTTATGTATATAATACTTAATACGATTGCGCTGACATACTTATCAATGTATGAATATAATTTACAGATTTAGCAATTTAATAATTATTAAAATCAGGAAACTAATTCAAATTTCATTCACTTACTTATGGTTTGCACGTAAAATTTAAAAAGATGTAATTTTGTATATGAAAAAAGATGATGGAACAAAAATATATCTTGGATAAGTTATTAATGCAAATAATACTTTATGGGCCATAAATTATTTTGCTGATTTAAGCTCGGATACTTGAAAATAATATGACAATACTGCAAAAGGTACCACGGATCCAATATAAGTATAGGTGTATGTGATGTGTGACTGACTATATGTATAAGAGCCCCCAAAAAATTACTATAACTATTAAGTAACAAGAATCACTTTTGGCCACAAAGCAATTACCGAAAGAAATGATTCAATGACTACAATCAAGTCGGTAAACCAATTTTCATTGAATCAGTGATACTAACTTATTACCCATTAAATTTATGCCTACTTAATAAGTTTTAAGTTTGTGAAACTAGAAATTTTAATTTTTAATTCGAGTAAAAATATTATAACCAAATTAGTTTAATGCACTAAAAAAAATTAAGTAGGTATATATAGACAATAATATGTATATAAATATTAGCCTATAAATATTAGAATCTATAAATATTAGTACATATAATTACTAATAAAACTAAAAAGTTATGGTAATAACAAAAAAATTATAATAAATTTTTTTAACTTTACTTAATTCTCTTTATAAATTTCTATTAATTTTTAAATGAACTATTTTTGTTAATTCATGTTTTATTTTTTATATTCGCAAAGTTTTCTGGAAAGCTGAAGAACAATCAGACCTCATAAAATAAATTTTTATCAAAATCGAAAATTTAAACAAGTCTAATTTAAGCGATAGAAATATGAGTAATTTTTTGTGTTATATTATTTTTCCTGTGTTTAGGTACTTGCATCCTCATAAATACATACTTATTTCTGTAGGTTTCGCTTATTTACCAGGTTTCTTTAATTCATCAATGTAATTAGATGTAATTCAGTGAAAATTATCTACCTAAGTATTCGAGACTGCTTTGAAAAAAGTCAAAGCAATAAATCATGGGGAAACTCTCATAACTTCTTTATAATGTGGATATCTCCAATGAAATTTTCCCTTAATGAAATTTAATACTATTTAATATTATTTTTAACTTACGTAGGAACTTAAACATGTCTTTATACATATTTTTAAGTGAATTACAAAGCCATTTACTTATAAAAATTCCAGTAGGTAGGTACCACGTTACTAGATAATCAATAACTTAGTTAAATAAGTAATGAAATTTAATGAAATTAAGTGGCTATTTCCAATTTCTTAATTTAATATAACTTAATAATATAAAAACACTTCTGGGTAAAATATTTTTTGATTATAGAGATAACTGTTCATATTGAAAAGAAAAATTTATTTTAAAAGTAAACTTTTTAAATATTTATACAAATAAATACCTTTATTTGAATATTTATGTTTTGAAAAACGATTTTAAAATTTTAAAACTCATTTACGTACTCGAAAATTACCATTTAACTAACTCGAAATAGGAACTTCCCTTCTAATAAAAAATATTCTAAATATACATATAATAGTGCAACGCAATAAGCGAAACTTTTTCCTAAACTATTATTCTTCTCAATTTAAAGTTGGTACAGCTACATGTACACATTAAAAATGAAACTGCTACTGTAGGTAAACGAATGATGCTTTAACCATTTTATTTTAAAACAAGCATTCAGAAAGATTTGCATAACTATATAAAAGTAATTTTCTTTACCACGCATATTACTTTAGAGATGTGATTTTATCAATTTACCTAATTGCTATACTTAGAAAATATTTTAGGCAAATATAATAACAATATAATATTTATAATATCAATAAACTAGCTAAACCCAATTTGTGTAAGTACCCACGATGGGAAAGTCCTATCCTTTAATAAAAAATTAAAGCACATATTATTTTAGGTACCTACCTATGTTCATATGTTTTTTTTATTTTCTTTTTCTTAATAGATATACAAAAGTATATGCAAACATGTATATATGTATATGTATGTAGGCAATATGGGCTTCTTTTTCTGAAGCCTACATATATACATACATACACTACATACAACAGTTAGCAATTAAATCATATTTTCATGTTCTTTTAATGTAATTAAATTGTTATTTTCAAAAATTATACTAAAAGTGTGTATGCATTGTTTTATATTTTAATCAAACACAATTGCACTTACTATATGCTCCCTAACTGTGTTATGAAAAATTTGAAGTCGATCGTCGGTAATTTCTTCCTCTTCCTCTATATCCATTAGAATAGTAATTTAACCAAATGTAATTTTTTATATTAAATTTTGTAGGTTTATTTCCAAAATTTCTATAAAACACTCTTCACTGTCTTTATATTTTTTTATTAAACTTTTGAATTTTTCTTTTAAATCTTTATGTAACCATTTTTTTGCTATTCTTTTTTATTAAATGGTTAAAATACTTTTTTGATAGCCAAATATTGATAATTAATTATACTTTATAAAAATTTTCACTTTCACTATCACAAAATTTTATTGAAATTTCCTTCAAAGATTATACGCACAAACCATTTTTTTTTTTTTCGAATCACCACAAATTTAATATAATATGAACGTTTGTAAATCATAAATTCAACTGATTGTGACTCTTCTCTTCTCTTTTTCATTTTATGTAGTTTGATTTTTCCTTGACAATATTAATTGACATTTGGCAGTCTTAGAAAACACTTTAACTGTACAATATTTGTATCAGATTTGCTACTTTATTATCAGAAAATATCGAATTCATTATAGATACCAATAGACGTATACTTCGTTATGTCGGATCGAGTACTTAATTTAAAATTTAAATCTGCATATAAAATGCACAAATTAAAATAATTCGACTTGAGTTTGACTTCAGCTGACAAGCATTTTATATTAATTTGTCATTTTCAATCTCTCATTCCATGTATATGCAATCGATTTTCAAGTCAAGTCAAGTAGCGTTTATATGAGCTCGAAATCCGCATGAAATGAGCTTCAGGCTGCTTATAAACGGAATAATTGATAAAAAGTTCCACGAGACAGAATTAAATTTGAACTTAAAACAACAATTAAAAAATTTCTCAGCGAATTAAATTTTAATTTCTAGCAGGCAGTTGATTTTAACTTAATAGCACAGGAATGTGATCTTTTCTTTCTTCAAATGTACATAATTTAGTTCATTTTTTCCACCAAAATTTCTTTTCTTTGGCTTAAAAGATTGGTACATAAAAAATTAATAAAGTAAAACACAATATTTACTTATATGAAATAACAAAACTCTTAATTCAATACATATTTTACGTACCTCACTGTAATATGTAAAGCAATAAAAAAAAAATTATTACAAAAAAAGTTAGAAAAATGCCAAAGCACTACCTAGTAGAAACGTTAAAGATATAAAATTTTTATAAATATAGCTTAACTTAGTATAAATTCGTCATCTACGATCTTTTTCCACTAAGTATGAAAGGATGTGCTAAATGAAATATGTACTAGATTTAAATATAATTTTTTAGATTTAAAAAATATATTGTATCTAGTACGAAGGTACAAAAATCATATCCGGACTATCAGTAGAGGGTATTACTCCTTTACTATCTAATTTGCTATCTACCCATTTTCCGTCAAATATTTTTATAATTTATTTTTCGGTAACGTCAAAGTGCATTTAAAATTAAATATTGGTGAAAGAAAAATAGGTTCTCGAAATTTTTGTTATTAATTTTAAACTAGTCTCGGGGTTTATTATTAGTTATTATAAGTTATTTATTTGGTTATTCTCGTATACCTCAGACTGTAGGACTCTGAAATTTTACCAGCTTTCAGACACTAATAAAGTGTTTATTTCGTGAAAGGAAAATTTTTTTTCCCCTCGAACACATCTCAAATTGTCGCCTCTCGAAATTTTAAAAAATTTGAATTTTTGGCACCTTATATTTCCAAAAGAAACATGCCCAAATTTCTATGAATGTAGGAAGCTGACGACGAATGCCATATTATTTAAAAATATCATTATTTTTTTGCCTCACTAAATTGACCCTTAAATTCGAGCATTTTGTTAACTACGCTTTATGTTCTATTTTTGTTTTACTTACATTGCTCATCCTAAATGTATGCAATCTTTGAAATATATTCGTATATGAATTATTTAAAAAATAATTCATATTTTAAGTATTTAAAACATAATTCATATTCAATCTATTTCGTATTTTTTAAATGTATTAGATTGCTTTTAAAAGCACTATATTCACTTGTTGAAGTGAACTTTATTTAATTTTTATATCGTGAAGGGACTATATAGAGAAAGATTTTATTTCATTTTTTATTTTATTTTATTTCATCGTTAGAGTGTTTATAAAAACAGTTTTTGTACGGTTTAAAGTACCATTCAAAAATTGGCAAACATGGTTAGAATGAGAATCATTCGAAATTACCTCCACGAATTTAACTGAGAGCGAAAAAATTGCTTAAATTTCACCAATTGCGGTATTTTTGATATCATCTGTTTCCATGTGTGTGTGATATTTTATGTGGCTAATATTTGTTTCCATATGCGTGAACCCTTGGTTTTGTCGTTGCACAGTTTTTCTCGCAACTTTTATTTCCAAATTAAATATTACCTTTGTTATTCAATTGTCATCGTATGCTGCAACGACAAACATTCAATGTTCTGAAATTTTGCGGTTGTCGGTTTCGCATGTCGCAGCAATATAACTTACTCTATTTAAATCAGTGGATATAAAATCATTTAGACAATACTTGCGACTGTCGTTGACGCAGGGTTGCAGTAATATTATGGCAGCCTATAAGTTTTATTATTTGCCTTAAAACCAAATCTGACACCAGACAGTGTTTACATATTTGACGGTCATCCCATTCAGATTTACAGCCTTATCTTGTACATATATCGCTTTTCCTCCTCACTTTTTATTTACAGAATTCTACGTTTTCCTTATGGATATTTTTATAAATTCATTATTCAATGAGTAACCTCATTTTTTCAACTTTGTTTTTGCATTTGTTCTCAAATTATCGACTGAATGTCTCATTTTTAAAAACAAAGTGAATAAATTTTGTATATATTTTCGGAAAAAACGAGATACGCAATACCAAATAATTCTTCTCACTCGAAAATTACGTTGTCAAATATGTAATAGCTACTCACTTTCCGCTCGCTTGCCTAGTTAAATAGCGAGATAGATGATCAGGTCCTAAATCTTAGAGTTTGTATTATGTGTAAACACTACCTAAGGTTTTAACGTTAGTTCTATCTTTAGTTTTAGTTGCATTGGACTGTTGCAATAAAAGTGTGTACAAACATACATACTTGTTTGTTTTCATAGTCATACCAAATTTGATTGAATTCAAGCGTTTATAAATTTAGTGCATTGACAAAAATTAAAAATATTTTATTCTAAAAAATATTTTCCAATATTTAAGGAAATGTCTGTTGTGATAGAAACTACAATAGGCGATATTACCGTTGATTTGTTTATAGAAGAAAGATTTAAAGCATGCTTAAATTTCTTGAAATTGTGTAAACTAAAATACTACAACTACAATTTGTTCCATAATATTGAAAGAAATTTCATTGCACAAAGTGGGGATCCAACTGGAGCTGGCGATGGAGGAGAATCAATTTGGGGAGTTATTGAAGGTCGGCATAAACGTTTCTTTGAAGCAGAAAATTTGCCAAAAATTAAACATGATATATCGGGGTTGCTATCGTTGGTCAGCATTGGTAAACAAATGGTCAGCTCACAATTTTTTTTTACCCTTGGACAAGATCTTATATCTTTAGACAATATGCATTGTGTTATAGGAGAGGTAGTTGAAGGTAAAATTTATAAAGTTAATTTGTATTAGTTTTAATATCTGCCTTTTTGATTTGATATCCTAGGACATGATGTATTGAGAAAATTAAACGAAGCTATAGTTGATGAAAAATTTCGTCCATATCAAGATATTCGAATTACACATACTGTTATTCTAGAAGATCCATTCGAAGATCCTCGCGGACTCCGAGTGCCCAGTAGATCACCTTCACCTTCGGCGGAGAGGCTCAAAAATGGCAGGATAGCCGCTGATGAAGATATAGATGATACGGAAGGAAAAACAGCACAGGAAATACAAGAAATGCTAGCGGAGAGAGAAGCAAAAGCTCGAGCAACAATTTTGGAAATTGTAGGAGATTTGCCTGATGCTGATATTGCCCCACCAGAAAATGTCCTTTTTGTATGTAAACTTAATCCTGTGACCACAGAGGATGATTTAGAAATTATATTTAGCCGTTTTGGAAAAGTAATTGGATGTGAAGTTATAAAAGATAAAATTTCTGGAGATTCGTTGCAGTATGCGTTTGTTGAATTTGAAGATAAAAAAGCTTGTGAAGCTGCTTATTTTAAAATGGATAATGTTTTAATTGATGATAGAAGAATACATGTTGATTTTTCACAATCAGTAGCAAAAGTCCAATGGAAAGGAAAAGGACGTGGTTTAATTTATAAAGAAGGGAAAGAAGATAGAAAACTTGACTTTAATAATTATAAGAACATTAGAAAAGAAAACAAAAACTTTATGACGACCAGTAGAACTAGAAAATCAAGAAGTCCTCAATACAAAATTAATTCAAACTCAAAACGTAGAAGCAGATCAGAAAGTCCTTCACGTAGCTTTGGGTACAAAAGTGGTACTAGTAGAAATAAATATTCTGATAGGAGATATGAAAGACATAGGGATAGATCACCCTATAGGAAATCATTTCAGTCAAGCTATCATGAAAATAAAGATGGATATGAAAAAGTTCGAAATCAAAGGAGTGATTATTCAGAAAAACGTTATTCCCGAAAAAGTAGATCGCGCTCTCCTATTAGTAAGTCTTCTTTTTCAAGTTACAGTTATCACAAATTAGAATTTAATAAATCTTGTAATAGAGATTCTCAAAAGAGTGAAAACCAAGATAAAAATGACGATAAAAAAAATAGTTCAACATCAAATAAAAAAGTAAGAGATGAAAAAAGAAATTCGGAAAAAGAAAAAATTTACAAAAGATATGAAGCAGAAAATAAAAAATCTAGCAAGTCAAAGAAACATAAAAAAGAAAAGAAAAAACACAATAGAAAGAAGTCTTCCACAGAAAGCGATTCTAGCAGTTCATCTTCGTCTACATCGACACCACAAAAAAAGAGAAAACACCGCCGCCAAAAAAGATCTAGTTCTTAAATAGACAAATAAAATTTTGCAAATAGAAAATTTATAACATTATAAATTTTATCAAAGTAAGAATAAATTACATGTATATATTCATGATAAGTTCTGCTTTATTTTTTTTGAATATTATTACTTGGTTCTTTTGAACCTTGAGTTTCGCTATTGCAACATTTTTTCCCTTTAGCAGGTTTTGTAAGAACAGCATCTGGATTGAACATATAATTTTCCATTAAAATGTTATCTCGAACATTGGCTTCTATAAAATAAAAATTTGTTCATTATTTTTTCTTCATTTCAAAATTCAATTGTTAAAGAAGTACGTGCCATAAACTCCAGGTTTTGTTTCCACAGCTTGAATAACATTGTTTTCTAATTCTTTCCTTACATCTATAGCAAACTGGATTTCCTAAAACAAGTGATTTCAAATAAGTATGATCACAAATCAAATTTATCAAATTTTAATATAGTGTGAAGCACGAAAAATTCAAAATCTAAGATGAGGTATGAACAAAAAAAAATAATTTTCCAATAAATTTGTGTTTCTACATTCTATATTATTTTCGTTTTTTTTTTTAATTTTTATTACTTGAAAAGAGTTACATATATAAAATATGTTCTTGAAAGAAACAAAAATATTATATTTCTTCTTAGCTTAAAAAAAATCAATGTCATTTAGTAGAAACAGAGCTTGATAATTTAAACTACATTAAAGTTCTATTCTAAATACGAAAAGCATACCTTTTGTATTTCTAATTTTTCTTTCAAGTATTTATTCTTTTTAAACCCTTCGTTTATAAGTTTTCTTGATTCTATAAGAGCTCTTTCATCTCCATTAAATATTAATTTTCTTGTTTGATGTAATTTTTTAAACTGTGCCAAAACCTTTAATACAATAATATCATCAATTATATCTAACATTTTTCTTATAAAAGTTTTTTTAATAAATTGTGTTAATGCGCACCTGTCTTCTTAAGAAATTTTCCATTTTCGTATTTCTTCTATATAATCAATCATGGTTTACATAATGGAAATATTATTCAAAGTTTTATTATTGTTTACAAATACTATACATGTACCATATGGTTTTGAAAATTTGATATTTTGATATTTTTTGATTTGCGTAGACGTTTTAAAATATGTTCATTTATGTTTGTACAATAGCCCTACTAGATCAGTACAATAGACGGATAAAGAATTCTGGTTGGTTTCTGTTAACAAAATTGTGTGACTAAATTAGAAACTATCAAAATTTGAAACATATTTTATTTGTAAACAGCCAATATAATCAAACTAAATATCAGAAAAATAGAAGCTTGTCCTATTTTCCAACCAATTTTTTGACAGTTGAAACAATTAAAAACGATCAGCAGTAAAATTTTCGATGTTCTACAAGTATGATCAGCTGATTTTTATTTTTGTTAATTACCTATTTACATAATATAATATGTTTTGTCAGTTATTACAACAATATTATTTTAAATTTTTGGAGCTTTGAGTTTTAATTTTTTAAAATATCTTGAAGGAAAATAAATTGCACGGCGGCAGTTTAACAGAATTTAATTTGGAACTGAAGAGAAGGAAGTGCCTTTGCACCATAAAAAAATCTTTCAAATCTCTGAAAGATATAGACTATACTGAACACAACTTTTACCTTCATAAACATACCTAAATTTCATACGTCAATTATGTTATAAAAAACAACAAATGTGATAGAAAATTTGACCAAATTAAATTTGATTTGTAAATACTAATTCGATTAGTTGAATTAGATTTAGTTATCCAATTTCGCTTAATTTTCAAACGCTCCTAGATTATATTTAGTATACAGTTTTGGTATGACGAACAGTTTACATATATTACTGGTATTTTCTGATAGAGCTCAAACTTTACGTCAAAATTTAATAATTTAAATACAAAAATTATATGTAACCGCAACAAAAATCAGCCGATTGCTGTTCCCAACTCTCACAAAATTTAATTGTCGCCATTTTACTTTTAAAAAATCTGATAGTTCTCAACCTCTGCCGGGTGAAACGAAAGCTTAAAATACAATTGTTTTACCCAGAAATACAATGCTTTTTCAATCCTACATTTCAACCTCTAAAGCTCGAATAAAAAAAAATTAATGCAGAAAAAACACATTCATACATACATATTTGTAGAATTCGTTTTAACAATTTATTTAAGTTCATTTAACTTTAACAAGTATTTGATAAAATTCAATCCAAATCAATCCAATTCAACCTTACTAAATGCGTACATATGTACATATGTACGTAAAACAAACTTAATATTACAAATTTGTACCAACCATTGCTTTGCCATGTATTTACGTGCATAGGTACATGTATAATATTATACACATAATACATACCGTGAATAAATATATACATAATTCTGAGTGCAAGAATTGGTTTATCATCGAAGTATTTTCAAGTTGCAACTATTTAGTGCAAATAAGGAAACTCTATTCATGTCTTGTAGGGATTTATAATCTGTTAATTTTGTAATAAAATAACATAGAGATCATCAATAGTTGTACATAATTTTTACAAAAACTAAATTGAATTTACATAAATTATGTTAGATTTGTTTACCATCAAAACTGATAATAATTTTAATTTTGTGTATAATAAAAGTAATGACTTTTTATGAACGTGAATTCATATTATATGTATGTATACTTATACATACATATATTCCTTTTAAGTTAACTCTCATTACTGCTACAGGTGGTTAAAATTTTGAAACGCATGCGTCAATATGTACTCCACACATAGGAAACTACTCATACAAAATTTTTGACTGAAGAGAAAAGTTTATCGATTTTTCATCGTTGTTGAATCATATCCCATCAGATTAACATTGTTCAATAGTGTCCTTTAAAAAATATTTTGTTTATTCAAAATTAGAACTAAAAACTTTTTTATGTATTTTTAAAATAAAACTTGTATTTTTGTTGACCGTAGATATAAAAAATCTTTAGTTTATAATTATTTAAATTTTAAAAATAATATAATATAAATTGTGTAAGACATTCGTACAAAGGAAAGAAGTTAAGAAAACGTAACATAAATATCCTTTGTTGTTAAAAACCATTTTGCATATAGAGAATCCTTAAAAATAAAATTTGAATTGTACTTATATAATTTTATATTTTATGAAAATTGAAATTAAAACCATAGTTTAACGATAATAATAATAAAATATTCAATATAAGTTTATATCAATAAAGTGATAAATTTTCAAGGATATTTTAAAGAATATGAAAATATGTGAAAATATTTCAAAATAACAAAATTATAATTTATCTACCATTACAAAACTATTATTTTTTTTTTATTTTTGTTTGTATGAGTCAGCTGGATAATATAGCTACTTACCAATCTCTTTTAATATAAACCAAAAAGGAAAACGGAAAAAAAATCTTGCCTAAATAATAACGGACAAAATAAAAGTTTCTTATTTATATTAAAGGAAACAAACAAAAAGGGTAAATATGGCAATTGATTTTGTCTCTACTTATAAAGTGTTAGTTTTGGGTGATTCAAATGTTGGAAAAACTTGTATAGTTCATCGATATTGTGATGAAAAATATTATGACACGTACATTTCAACCATAGGTAAGAGAATTAAGAGCTTTTAAAATTTGTATTTTTTGCCTATTAGGAATTTTTGGATTAAGAAGCTGTACAAAATTTTATTTTCACTTTAGCTAGGTAAAAATTGAAATGTTCTTTATATTATGTATGCACAAATATACATATATACTTATTTATGACAGAAATAAGGTTAAACATAGAACGATCAGAGGACTTTATCGAAATTTTACAAATTTATAATTTCAAATTGAAAGTATATAGGTAAATTCCTGTGTTGTAAATAATAGGGGCTCATCATAAATATATGCATATGTATACAGTACATTCTAGATATAGGATTTGTAGTATTGTGTATATCTTTACATATGTTAATCTATACATATGTACATACTTGGTAATGTAACTACATACATTTGTTACTGTTTATACATGCACACAAACAAAGACCGTGTATTTGTCCATTTGAATAATATACTTATATGGTCTTTAATACTGGCTATGTTGAACCACAAACTCATATAGTGTAACGATGTCTGGTTAAACAGACAAGTTATATTATTTTCTTTGGTTTTATTCAGATTTACTACTCATCATATATGTGCATACGTATGCGTGAATGTTTGTATGAATATAAGGAACCTTAATTTTCAATTTGCATAGGTATGTATGTATATAGGTGGTTAGGTAAACTACCTACGTTAAGGTATCTTGATCTCAGCTTAGACGAAATATGTGCTCAAACTCCTAAGCCAAAAACGTACAGAATAAATAAAATAGTTATAGTACCTATTTCAAAAAGTATAAGTATCATTAAAATTTTTCATATACATATACATATAAGTATATGCATGTACACAGACCGAAACGCATATAATATATTACATTTTATCCAAAAATATTAAAATTTTGAAATAGTAGTGTTGAAATAGTATATTGTAGATCTGTCTAAAAGAATCAAAGAACACATTTTATCCAAAATCTCAATAACCTTATATATGTATGTAAGTATATAAGAAGAGAAATAAGTAGTTTTTTGCAGGAGTTAACAAAAAAAACTTATGGCATAATTTCTGAAGTTAACAATATGTCCCTCATTCATATTGTATGCATAAACTATCGACGCATTTGAAGCAACGCAAAACCAATGCTAAGTTTGAACGGTCTAGACTAGACAAATATAAGATATTTTTGAAAATGCAGTTTTTAAGGTTAGAAATAGGAAGCTTCACGTTTAATTTGTACATACTTAAAGCTTTGAAACTTTTCAGTTCTAGGCTTATAGCTGCATTTTTAGACATACCCATAATTGAGCATAGTCTAAAAATCTGAGTAACCATTGGAAACAATGAAGGAACTAATATTAATTAATTAGTACAAAAATTTATAGCGACTTTTCACCATTGTTAATTGTTTTTATTGTTTCCATTTCAGTGAATCCGTTATTCATTTTTCATCATTCCCCCACAACTTTCGATGTTATTATTAAACAAAAATGAATTATATAAAATTGTTGTCATTTATTCACTTTTTATTTGGTAAAAAGGAAATTAGTGCCTGTTTGTAAGTAATATAGTGAAGCGAGTCTAGAAACGTCTACGTATGTGTATGTACGCTTGTTTGATTAACGTAAATGTACAAAAATCTGAGGACGATCAGCTGATTTTTGTTTTGTAACAATTTCTGTTATAAAATTCTGTTATAAGACGTCTACCTGTTATAAAAATTGGAGAAAATTATGACGTCATTTTCTCAATGTTTAAAGTTTTTTCAAACTTTGTAAAGTAAAATTTAGTGTTTTAAAAACTTTAAAATCTTACAGTTATTGAAACGAGTGTTTTTTTGGTTATGTCAGAACGTTTTATTTAAAAAAAACTCTTTCATTAAAAATAAAATAAACAAAAAAAATTCTGAAATGTTTTTTTCTAAGTTTCACACTTTTATAATCAAAAATCAAAATTTTTTGATAATTAGTTTATCAAACATAAACCAATATTTAATTAAAACCAAAAAATATTGCTTTATGTTTTGAAATTTGATGTTTATCACCTATTTATGTATAAAGTTTTTCACAACTTCTTCGTCATTGCTTTTCTTTTTAAAGTGTTTTAAGTTTTATGCCAGACACCTATTATGTATTAAATTTTGACGTAAAGTCTGAGTTCCATTAGACAATTTTAGGGTGACATGTAAACAGTCATCAAACTTTATTTTAGATTTAATTTTAGATTTCGTCGTATATAGAACGCCAACTATTCTATATTATATAAACGGCTTATTAGGTCTATTATAAGCGTATTGTGCATTTATAAATAATATATAATATGTGCATGCATAAAATAAAACTTTGAAAACAATTTATGACTAACGGTTAAACATTTAAATATTTACAGGTATTGATTTTAAACAAAAGTTAATTAATTTAGATGGGGTTCCAATCAAATTACAAATTTGGGATACGGCTGGACAGGAACGTTTCAGGTCCTTATTAATTTTTAATAATTAATTAGCTTTTAAAAATCACTCACATATTTATTTTGTCTATTTAAATTAGAACATTAACAACGGCCTATTACCGTGGTGCTATGGGCATTCTTTTGATGTATGATGTTACCAATTTGGAATCATATAATAATTTGTCTTATTGGTTACGAAATATACAAGAGGTAAAATTTCATGTAAAAAAAATCAATTATGTAACTTTAGTATAATTATATTTATAGAATGCGTCACCAGATGTTGTAAAAGTTTTAGCAGGCAATAAATGTGAGTGTACAGCATCACAAAGAATGGTTGATAAAGATAAAGGTGAAAAGGTAAAGGTTATTTTATTAAAAGATTTCTACTTTATTTTTTATTAAACACTAACACTAAATGACAATAATTTGTAATTGAGGAGGAATTAAAATTTTCAACGTAAAAAAACATTCAACCTTATTTTTCTTGAAATAAAATAATTAAAATATAAAAGATTTTCAAAATAACGGTAACTTGTTAATTACTACACTTCAACCAATATTGGTAACATAAAATAATATTAATTGGAAATTATGTATAACCAATTTTGTATGTATGTCATAGAATATTTGAAATAATTTTATTAAATATACAGTGTGCTTCGTATAAGGTGGCAAATAATTCTAAAGATGATTCCTTGATCAATTTCCAGCAAAAATTGTAGGGTTAGAGGTGATGCAGATATATTCGTCTTCGAGCTAATCTCTATTGGCAAAAATATTACCAGATTTTTCCGCATATAAATAAACTATTATATTTTCGGAATCACGCGAGATAGAGTAACCATTCCCCCTCCCCCCACATATACAACTTTTTGCTGGAAATAAATCAAAAAATCATCCCGGAAATTATTTACCATCCTATGCGAAACACTCTGCATTTCATAAAAAAAAGAGTTAGGTTCTATCACATTTGGTTTAATGTAAAATATCTATGCTATATACAAAATAATACTATTTATGTACGTACATACATATGTATAAAAAATTATTTCCATAACTTTTTAAATTGCAGATTGCTGAAACATTTGATATGCCATTTTTCGAAGTATCTTGTAAGCAAAACATCAACATCGAAGAAGTATTTATAACATTGGCCAGAAAAATTCGTGAACAAAGAGAACGCCGGGTATGATACTTATATTAAAATTTTATTAAAACTAATTTAAAATCAATTTATTTGCTTAATATTAAATTTGTCCAATATAAAAATTAATACATACATGTTTATATAAATTTTTTAAAGGGTGACAATTTTAATGATGACAAAGGCCAAGAAAAGAAATCACCATCTCTTGGTGGCATCAGCCCATTCGCTTTAAGTAACTCTGAAAATAATGGATGTTCATGTTAAACTATAAGATTTTTACAGTCAATTTTAAAAAAAATTAAAAAAGAAAACAAAAAAAAATGAAAAATACATTTGCTTAATATTATTCATTAAAATAATTAATTAAAAAAGTATAGAAAAACTATTAAACAAAATAAAAACCAAATATAAAAATATATTATATTGCATCAAAAACAACAATTTATAAAAGTATTTAGGAGTTCAAAACAATACACAAGTGCAGTCTTTGATATTTTTCATTTATAAAAGATTTTCAATTTGGTGATAAAGTAGAAATTTAGTGAAATAATGAAAAAGAAAATACAAAAAAATTAATAAAAATTAAAAGTTTTTAGTAAAAACTTTTTACTCATAACATTTGCTTATGTTTTAATTTATTTAAAAAAAAAATAAGTTGAAAGGGAAGTTGTAGGTTCTTTAAAAAATATATGTACATATTTAAAGAATAAAATTTATTAAATTTTTATTTAATTAACTCCTCTTTAAAAAAAATTTTAATTTTAATTAAAAATATTAAAATTCTAAAATGCATTTAAAAACATGCGTACATTATTAATGTCTGTAAATTAATAAAATCAAATTTTTGTAAGTTGGGATTGTAACCGCGTTTAATAAGGTTTAAATTGTTTTAAATTTTAACAAGTTTGCAAATCTCATACATATTGTAAGGATATTATGTGTACATACGCTTCACCATCGATATATATAACAAGTTTTATTTATTATATAAGAATCCAAACTTTTGGAGAAATTCAATTGATTTGAAAAACCCCCAATTTTCTATAAAAACTTGTAAAAAATATGTTTCAATTTTTACTCCAAGTACTTTTAGATTAATTTAAATAATTAAATATATTTTCTAACGTTTTAAAAATAACGTATGAAAGCGCACACAAAGTACATTTATACTTATCGCATATTTTTTCTTAATTTTTTTCGAACAGTAAGGATAATTGAATCGCTTAAAATGATTGGATTTTATTAAGAGTATTTTGGTTTTCAGCGTAAAATTTCAAATTTCTAAATTAATTTTAAATCTGAAAAATCTTTATATTTTTGAATAAAAACTCATCACATCAAGTGATGACAAACAGAATGTTGGTGAATATGTAGACATAAATTAGCAATTTTATTTTTTCTGAAAACGATTAAGATATAGAAGTTGTTGATGACGTAAATTATTTGCTCAGATATATATTATGTATGTACATATAAATACATATGTATATATTTTCTTATACAAATGCCTTTATGTTATTTTTCATTAAAATAATGTTTATTTGCAAAAGACTTTTATATGTTAAAGTAAATTATAAATCTTTTTTTTCGCAATAAGAACTAAATTTAATAAAACGTTTTCACAGTAAAACTATTTTGGTATATTTGCAAAAAGTATAAAAATATTTCAATTTTAAATAACACTCATCAAATTTTTAAAAAGGACATAAAATTATTTATTTTATCTAATCCAATAAGTCCCACCTGCAACGCCTCAGAATAATTTTTCGTTATGTAAGAAAAATTTTTAATAATAAGTAATTTAAATTTTTATTTAAAGATAACAAACGCTATTAGGATAATCCACTTATTTTTTTTATATGTTAGTGTAATTTAATTAAAATAAAACTTAGATTATCTTCTAGAGTGCTGATAAAATACATGGGAAAAGAGGTATTAACATAGACTTTAATTAACAGTTAAAATTTTAATAATAATAATACTTTAAATTTTTTATATTAATTTTTATTTTAGAAATACCTATATTTTTCGTTTATATTTAGCTATTGATTGCGTCTATCTTAATATTTCTTTGAAAAATACAATGTTTTAAGGCAAACTTTCCTGTTAAGTTTGATTTGAATGTTCGAGAACAAGATGAATAATATAAGTCAGGTTTAGCAATATATTGTACTATTGTATTGAAAAAAAACCGTACTCTTATATATTTTTTTTTGAGAATAAAACGTTGTAATTTATATACCTATAAATGACTTTTATTGTTATTTTGAGGATGCAAGTGCAAAATACATTGAATTGCATCGTATTCCTATATACCTTAAAAAAATTTAGCTTGGGAATTATTATATAAAATAGAGAAACAAAACTGAATAAAAAACCTGAAACAAAACTTTATTGCTCTAAAATATGGTCAGATTAACTTAATATTCTATATATAAAGATTATCTGGAAACCGCTTTATTTTTTAGAGATAAAATAAAATATGTATGTATTTTTCAAATTTTTATTTCACTTATAAAAGAACCAGCTTATTTTGTTTCACATTAATTCAATGGTTCAACTTCCTCATGTGGCTTGACTGGTGGTGCTATTTTATATTCAGTTGTAGGACTTTCATAAATCTTCTCTTCTTTTGGTTCTGCAACTGAAATGTAATCTGGTAAAGGTTTCTTTGGTCCACATTTTTGATTTGGATCCCAAGGTAACATAATTTTAACTTTAATTCCCAAAACTCCTTGTCTTAAAAGTACATGTCTTGTTGCTGTGTCAACATAGTCATTACATGGATCACCGGAATGAATCATTAAGCCATCAACAAATTTCATTGATTTAGCTCTCTGGCCTCTAAGTTTTCCTGAAACTACTACTTCACATCCTTTTGCACCAGATTCCATAATAAATCGCAAAACACCATAACAGGCCCTTCTAACGGCTAGGCCACCAGTTAATTTATAACGTAAGGATTCGGCCTGTGCTATTGCACATAAACCGCGAGTAGGTACTTTTTCTGCATATAATTCAATGCGTCCTGGTTCATAACTAAATCTTTTTTGGACCATTGTTGTTAATTCACGAATACGACGTCCTTTTTCGCCCAAAACTTGTTGAGTTTTTGTGGCCATAATAATGATTTCCATACGAGCTGGTGTAACTCGGACTTCAACACCTGAATAACCATCTTCTGCTAGTTCACGAGTAAGAAACTCATTAAGTTCAGCTTTGAACATGCCATCCGACACGAACTAAAATATAATTTGAAAACAAAATGTAACTGTAATAAATAGATTGTATTATACATGAGAACATTTCGTAAAATTATTTAGTTGTTCTAAACTACAAATTAGCTTGCCTTTAAGGTTAAAAATTGTTAGTTTTTGTAAAAATTATTTTCACTTTCAAAAGCCTTCTAATTCAGTATTTATTTTTACAAATGCAAATCTAGTTTATAGAAATTATTAAAATTGCAAGTTTTATAAACTTACCTTGCGTTTTTTAGAAATTGTTACACTCATATTTATAATTCACGACTTGTACAGAACGTGGTTACAGAGAAAAAGGCTTTCTATTTCTATATACGTTGACTGCAATACCGACATAAATGGATGGTTGTCAATTGTCAAATGTTGTCAACAATTACATATCCCTTTGAAGCAGAACTGTCTTTTGATTTCTACTTGGAAATTTTTGTCTCTGACTCCTCATTTTTAGTTTTGACTCCCATTTCAAAATACATATTTTAATTGCTTCAATTTGAAACAAAATTTTTGGGGAATTGGAAAGAAATCATGTGTTTTCTTTTACCAAAAAAATTTTACTAAACAAAATATAACATATAAGAATATAAAAATAATATAAAATAATATAAAATAATAAAAAAAATATAAAATATAAGACCATTTATGGAACAGAATTGAATTTTACGAGTAACTCAGTTATCTCATCGTAAAAATGATAAGCTTTGTTTCGCGAATTGTTGTTTTTTTCTTGTCAAAAATTTATATTTAATTTTTAGGCAAACTTTATTTATATCATCATCTACTGGGTTAAAATTTAATAAGAATTTTTTGAATTTAATTGAAATTTTTGTGTCAAAAAATACAGAGCAAAGGATGTGATTTGAAAGTTGATGTTTAGTTTGAGTAAACTGCAAGGGTATTTTCCAGTTATTGTTACATTATATGAACTCGGGCTATTGAAATTTTTGTGTCAAAAAATACAGGGCAAAGGATGTGATTTGAAAGTTGATGTTTAGTTTGAGTAAACTGCAAGGGTATTTTCCAGTTATTGTTACATTATATGAACTCGGATTCAATATGAGTCTTCTTTGATTAGTGCAATAGAATGTGTATCGATGTGTTGACGCATCAGAGGAAAGCTTTGGATTGTTGCAACAATAATTAATATATGAAAAAATTCATTCATTAAAGCATTCACAAAAACGTAGTGCATGTTGCTTCACAAAAATATTTGTTCCTTGAGCAAAATTCTAAAAGTGAAAATAAAAAAAAAATCTTATTTTTATTTAACAAATAACTCAAAGTTTTTTCGTTGTGTTATTTTTTGAATATTTTGGAAACAAATAAAAAAAAACACATATATGATTGTCAATTTTGAAAAGTGTGAAAGAATAAGAAATTGACTAAAGGGTTTTTGAGTGCTACTGAAATTGTTCGACAACTGCTTGTAGCGATAATGTAGTTTAATTTTTTTAAAACTGTCATATTGACGGTCCCCCATTCAATTGACGTTATGTATTTCTGAATTCCAATTCTTTCTGAATATAAACAAATAGTTAAAAATAATTTTCGCGTTTATGAATTAATAAGTGTTATACTTATAAATATTAAAAATGCAAAATTGTGTTCCAAATAGGAATTGTGCAAGTGATGAAGAAATTTTGGAATGGGAAAAAGAAGCTGAAGCTATAATACAAGATGTAAAACATCATGTAAATGAAATATTTATTTCAAGGAGCTTAAGATCAGATTTATTTGAGATATTTTTGAATCTACGAACTTTAGAAAATAATGAATACTGTATTCGAGCTTCCGGATGTGGTTTTCAAATAGCTGGCAATGGTTATGATACAACAGACAGAATAAGTGAAAATAATGACGAAGAAAATATATTTGAAACACCATATGCTCTTTTAACTTTTATTAGCCCTGGTTATGTGCAGTCATTTGCAAATAGATTATCACAACAAATTCAAAATTCATTAATGCAATAAAAAGTGAAACAAGTTTAAAAATTTTATTTCCAGAAATTTTTTTTTTTGAATAAAAGTCCTTGTATATTAATAATTTTTATACACTACTAAGGTAAACATCTTTAGATATAATTTTATATTTATTAATATTTTATCTGATTTTATGTGCACTTTTTTATTGGAAAACCTAATTGCTTGATCTTGCGACTAATTTTATTAAAATTATATGATTAGGACTTAAGAAAGCAGATTATGTACGTACCTACATAAACGATTTATTACGCAGCAAAGAATAAATATTAAAATCTACGGTTGAATTCAAAAATTTTATAAAATATTTCATGCATTGACTATGATATCTTCCTTTTTATGTTTAAATTTGCAGTTCAAATGTATTTGTAACTGGGGATTATTGATTGTAAATGTAATTATAACTTTTTTACAGGTATTGTGGAAAAATGATATAAATAACTTTTTCAATAAATTTCAAAAATAGCAATGATTCAATATATAGTACATATTGTACATGGCACAGGTAATACCAGCTGTGAAAAGAATACGAACGAAATGGGGGAATTTTCGCAGATTTTCTTTCCTTTGCCTATAACACATACATACATGTACATAAAATTATGCCACAAATATACATACATACATATCCAGATTTAGAAGTTCATATGTATTTCTTCTTGAAAAACGGAAAAATAGAAATTTATTAAATTAAATATATTTTATTATGGACATTAAAAAAGATTGACATGAAAAAATTAGAAGCATTTGAAATGTGGTCATACCGTAAAATTTTAAAAACAAACTGGTGCGACAGGGTGACAAATGTGGAAGTTTTAAGAAGAATGAACATAGATAAACAACTGCTCTACACCATTCAATCGCGAAAATTAAGCTACTTTGGACACATTATGAGAAACAGCAAGTACCAATTACTACAATTAGTAACGCAAGGCAAGATTCTTGGTAAAAAAAACAGAGGAAGACGTAAAACATCATGGATCAGCAACCTTACAGAATGGTTCAATATGCCGGCAAATAAACTGATGAGAGCGGTTAAGTCCAAAGAGGATATAAAATTGATGATTACCAATCTCCGTAACGGAGTGGCACGCTAAGAAGAAGAATATTTTATTAAATTAATCATAGAATATAAAAAAACGAAATTGAAATTTTTTTTTTTAATACCACTATTTTACATAACGTCGTTTCCTTCGTTTTAAACTTTTTTTTTCCGAAGTAAATTTGTACCACAAACATTTTTTTTTTTCATTTTGACAATTAAATTTTTTGTCTGACCCTTAAAAACGATTTTTTCAATCCCATCCATTTTTTTATCATTTATATCATTGCTTTTATGATATTTTTTTGCAAGCGACAGCTGTTTTTAAAATTCTAATACGTGACAAAAATTGAAATTAATTTTTAAGTTTATAGGACACACATAATTGTTGTTAATTATTTCAGATAAAAAGGAAAGCGTATGTAGTAGCTATTTAATATAAATTTTCTAATTTACGTCGTGAATTTTCAGTCCCAAAAACGACGTTTAGCAAAGGATACCTGTAATTTAAATATTAAAGTTCTCAAAATTTTAATTTCTTTCAATTTTTTTTACGTTTTTTTGTATTGGCTTTATATTCATTTTGTTCCCAAAAGAAACAAAAATCCCTTTTTAATTTTCAGTTTTTAAAAAAAATTTATTTCGATATGCGACATCTAAACACTTCGATGTGACTACCGATTTCTAACCAAAAAATGTTTCTATTCAGTATCTCGTATCTTTTTTCTGCCTTTACTTTATATTGAAATTCCATTCTTTTCTCATATATTACTTATAAGAATTTTTGAAATATTTATTATAGAAACGAAGTGAACATTTGGATTGGTTTGTGTGTTTGAAAAAACCAATTTTTAAAGCATATATTTTTTAAATTTAATTTTATTCCAATTTAAAGAGAAAACTATAATCCATAAAAGGTGTTTGAATAAACTGAACATTATTAAAAACAAAAACCAACTTATATATGGTTTATACCTATGATAAATTTTTTAAGATTTCTACGATATAAAGCTATTCAGAAATTATTGTGAATTCAAAAGCTTTTCTTATGAGGAAATATTTACGTGCATTAATTTTGTCGTAATAGCGAAAATCAAGCAAAAGCAAACAGTTTATTTGTTTTTACATGGGAGACAAAAACGTGTATTATATTATATTTCAAAATAAACCTCGTACTACATTATATGGTTAAAATATGTGAAAGATATATCTATGTATGAAAAATATACACATTTTTTATATGATAAGATATATTCACATCGTTGGCGCAAATTCTAAAAGAATATAACATATTTATTTTATATTTGGCATTATCATCGCCAAAAAATTCAAATTTTAAAATGAAGCAGTCGGCGTTTCTTCATTTTAGCTAGCTCGTTTTCATAATTAGTGCTTTTATTACTAGAAGAAGAAATTTATGTAATTTACATTTTGAAAAACAACAGTTTTTAATTTACTATTTATAAGTTCTTCAATAAGTTTCTGAAAATTCTCTATATTCATACAAATACTTAAAAGAATTGGAAAAGAAAATTTGCTAGAATCTATCAAAAATATGAGTTATGTATTTAGTTATAAAAACAAATTTTTGAATTTTAAAATTCTAATATATGTATGTATGATTTTAAAAACAAAATCATTTAAGGAAAATATTGTAAAATTTAAAGAAGATAATAATATGCTTTGAAAAAAATTAATAATTTTAAAGTAAGACTTCTACAGAAAGGGTAGGAGTCATCTTATGAGATGACTCCTATTTATTTATGAAGTTCTTTTATTTATGAACTCAGAAATGAACATGGAAAAAAAAATGCAAAATCTGCTTAGTTTGTCAAAAAGTCAAAAAACATTTTAATTTTTTCCTCTTTTTTTATTATTTTGCCGCTAACCCACTAAGAGGAAAATAGAATTTTCTTAGCGTCTTGCTTCTTATTTTTCAGTAAACTAAAATAAATCTGCAATTGAGTTTTTAATGTTTAGAGATTGACTATACACTGGATGATTAAGTAATACGTACAATATATGCAAATGCAACAATATACCATTGGTTAGAATGTTAAATGATCAAAAATGGGGGAAATAGTTTTTTTTGAGTACGTACGAAATCTCAATGGTGATTTTATGAATGCTTTTCGAAAGATTATTTTATGGCACAATTTTTAATACCATGTTCAATACATATAATATCTTCACATTATGTACATATATCCCTTTACCTCCATTACATAACGTTTTGAAATTAATCTTTTCTACATTAGAATCAGGAATACTGGATGTGGTGCATATTTATTTTGTATAAATTTTACGAACATTCATTTATTAAAATATAGGTAATATAAAGATTATCACATTCATACAAATTATTTATTAATAAAAAGAACTGCTCAACCATTTTTAATATTTTACAAAATTTTATTGTATTGCTGATTTAGAGTCTAAAATTGTTACACTTAAGAGATTCTTAATGACAATGATGTATAAATCTTCATTTCTTCATATTTTTACTGTTTTGCAATTTGCCCACTCCAAAATTCATTAATAAATATTTTTTTGAAGCGTAAGAGCGTTGTTTCTTTTGAAAACAACTTAGTTGACTATTATTTTTAATAACATTCGAAACTTTTCACCCATGTATTAAAAAGAGTAAAATGAAATACTCAAGTATTTTTCAACACTTATTGCTATTGTTAAGGGGATCAAAACAAAATTAAAAATTTTATTATATTTTCTAACGATCCTTTTTATTTGTAGGGTCAAATAGTTTTATGAAATTCATTTAAAAATTTATTTTTGCAGTGAATAATGTACACGTAGTTTTTAAAAATTAATAAAAGGATTCAAGGATTTTTTACCCATTATAAGACTGTATATACATATATATATATATATATATATATATATATATATATATATATGTACGCACGCCATATAATATGATATATTTTTGATATTCATTAGGTAAAATTTTCAAATAATAAGAAAGTAAAATAGCTTAGTATATAAGGTAGTTTTATTTTTTAAGGACTAATGTTATATATTTGAACCTTTGATGTATGTACAATACAAAATGGAATTCTCTTGAATCATTGTAGAATTTTATTATTAAACTAGAATGTAATTATTATTCGGTTTGTAAATTTTGTCATTTATTTAAAAAAGTGTAAATATTTATCTACATATAAGTAAAAAACTGTTTTGAACAAAGATAATCCGATTTAAATACACAATGTTGTTATGTTTCATACTTTTTATTGGAAAGCATTAAAGAAAACGGGATATCTATATATAATTTGGAATTTTGTATTTTTTCTTTAAAAGGATAAAGAAAATAATATATTTTTTTTTATTGTGCCATTAAAAACAAAATCTTTTAGAAATTCTTTCGATTTTCGTAATTAATCTGTTGATTATTAAACTAAAATATTTGAATAGAATTGAAATTGAAATAAATTATTTGTAAGTTGGTACTCGCTTGAGGATTTAGTGAAGATTTACATTATATTTAAAATGTTTCAGCTTGCTTAAATAACATACTGTTTTGTTGAAATATGACCAAAAAATTTAATTTTAATTTAAGTGAAAAACTAACTAAATCATCAAAATTATTATTTTAAAATTAATAAAAATTATTAAGTTATGCATTCGTGAATTTTTTGTTATAAGCATATCATTAAATTAAAAATTAAATTGAAGCTTCTGTTAATCACCAATTTTGCCTGCGCTGCAATTATATTGTTGAGCTCTATTTTGACCTACATATTATTGTTTCATTACTTGTTCATTTTATAAAAAAAACCAGTAAATTAAATTTCCTTAGGGTTTAGATTAAAATGAGTCAATTGCATCTAATTTATAAAAACTTATGAATGCTTTTTTTTCAAATTTGATTAATTTTTTAAAATTTTCTGATTTAAATTTTAGAGATTTAAATAATTATTGAAAAAAATAAATTTGAATTATTTTTATTAATCAAATTTTATGAAATTAAATTATTTTTGCTTAATGCAAATGATAAAATTTTTTAAGAATAAAATAATAATTAAAATAATATTATTTCAAGAATAGTTTTCTTATTGTTAATTATTACCGTAATATTGTTATATTATAGCAAAATAATCTCCGGAACTTCATGAATGTAGCAGATTTCCCTTGAATATAATTTTCGTATAGCCTTTATGACCTAATTAATATTTTATTAATTATACATATATTATTTATAAAATCCAATTAAGGAGTAAAAACCACGTTCAAGAAATATATTTTATAATTATATGTATACACTGAAAAAAAAAAACGCATATCAAAAGTTGTCATAAACTATTTCGGAGATCTTATTTGTGTTTTGTAAATAAAATATTTGATAATTTATAATATTTTTACTCAAAGAAGAAATTATTTTTATCTTTATACAACATAAACATATTTCAATATTTCTTATAGTAAAACGCGTCAAATTATTACAATTGTATAAAATAATGTTAGAAAAAATAAAATATATAGCAACTTCTCTAATAATTCAGTTATGATATAAGAATGTTGTGACAAAAGTATATATAAATATATCTTTTGGTATTACATAACTCTTTTTCTGTTTTTAAAAATAAAATGAAGCTGAATAAAAACTGTTTTGACGGACACAAGTTTACCGACATTCAAACAAAAGCATTACCAAATAAGAAATAATTTATTTGTAATGTGCTATAAATATTTCTCAATTCATCAAAAAGTGTTTTAAATTTGACTAAAAAAAATATATATACGAAATTATTGTAGCTCATTCAGAAATTTCTTTTATTCCAAATACATAGTTAATTAATTTTTGACAAACAACTCAAAACTGGAAAATTTGAAAACAGTATATGCATTTATAAAACTGTTTTGAATTATATTCAAAATAAAAATATAGAAGAAGGAAAATTAACTATAAAATAAGGTTGCCTTAATTTCGGTGTCTCTTCTCTAAAAAAAATATCTAATTTAGACAAAATTTTTCTCCGTGAATGTATCTATGTCATAATATAATTTGAAAATTTCTATATTTAAAAACCTGTATTCAAATCAACTTCTCCGCA